CGCACCAGTCGTACCACACGGTAGGAATCCATTTGCGATGTACGCTGAGAACGGTGGAATTTTTCGTCACGTGTATTCAAATTATTGTGTATTTAAATAATAATCTAAACGCTATATTTCAATATATTAAAGCAACATTGTTTACTTCTTTGTATTCTGCAGTAAATGGTTACTGTACATACTTCAAATTTAGCCGCAAACCAAATTTTTGAGCACCTTCAGGCGTATACAGTGTCACAAGTGCTAGATTCCTAATCTTGCCGCCGATTTCTAAGGCCGCCTTTAGGCGACCACAGTAGTCAAAGGGTTAAGGGGTCTCTTGCATGATCACATTTACTTCGCAATAGGAATACCTGTGATTCTCACGGGATGCGGTACATTCGTGTCACACGGGATCATACTGAATAATAATTATAAATAATTACGAAAATTGGTATGACGAATTTCTTCTCTTTCTCCATTTTCTGGCAATTGGTATTCGAAGATTCGTCGAATTAAGCCTCGTTCGCACGAAGACACTTGGTTTATGATAGATATACGGATGAGATTCTCACAAAACGCGATTTTATTTGTATAATAATAACCGCGATTTCTGAAAATCGGTGTGATAATTTTTTATTTCTTTTTCGGGAATTGCTATCCGAAAATTCGTTAAACTAGACCCCTTTCGCACGAGGATACTTGGTTCCCGATAAAAAGACGATTATGCGAAAATAGACGATTCTCATAGCACGCGATATACTCGTGTATGAAAATTGCTATTACGGTTCTTTTTCATTTAGAATTACTATGTAATGATTCCTTAAATTATACCTCTCTTATACGACAATTTCGCGATTCCTGGTATAATAGATACTAATCGTGTATACTTATAGAAGCGCTCAGACGAAGATTCCAATACAGATTACGATTTTAGTACTTAGAGCTGTTTCACACGACGATATCTGAATAATAAATACCAACCGTGTGTGTAATTCTTTGTGACCGTTCACAATTGTCATGAAATACGATATCGCGATGACTATCGCTATTTTTCGCTATTTTTCGAAAAGGAAAGTATCGTCGTGTGAAAGAGCTTTTATCGTGCGCCTAAAGCTGACGCAAAATTCTTCAAATTCTTCGCCACCGTATGAGTATCGAACGTGCATCGCATACCTGAATCGCGACACCGAGTACCGTCGCGTGAACGAGCTTTTAGGTTAGGACCAAGCTCACGAGGAACGGTTCGGATCCTGCGATCCTTGCTTCGCGATCCGAGGTTCGTATTTACATTCGAGGGATCGTATCGCGCGATTTCTATCGCGGAATTCGAGTTCCGTGTAATCAGGCACGCATTGTGAGAGTGCATTGTAGGGTTCGTACCGCGAAACTCGTTACACGAATTCGCGCGACAGGATTCGCGTAATAGGACTCGCGTCGCGACGTTCGTTTCGTGCTCTTTGTTCTGCTCGTTTTGGACCACGAGTGCTGGGCAGATCACGTTGCGACCTTCGCGTGGAGAATTTCGTATTGCCAGATCCGTTTTTGAGCACTCGTTGCCAGCTTCGCGATGGAATTTTCGCATTCCGAATTTCGCGTTGCGAGATTTATATTTATCGACAGAAGACTGACCTTCGCGTATTAACTCGGTTAATATATCTGATTTCCGTTTCGTGGCGCAAAATTTTTCTCTGATTTGCATATCACAAATTTCGCATCGTGACCCTAGAAATATAAATTCCGTGTTACGTATCTTGTATCGGAAACGTTTATGCAAACTTTGCATAAAAATTGTCAAATTGCGAGCTTTTGTATTGTAGATTATAAATTTCATATCGCGACATTTGCAATGAGAAATTCGCGTTGAGAAATTGTGAGCTTTGCGTTGAGAAATCGTGAGCTTTGCGTTGAGAAATCATGAGCTTCGCGTTGAGAAATTGTAAGCTTTGCATTGAGACATCATGAGCTTCGCATTGAAAAGTCGTGAGCTTTGCGTTGAGAAGTCATGAGCTTTGCGTTGAGAAGTCATGAGCTTCGCGTTGAGAAATCGTGAGCTTCGCGTTGAAAAGTCGTGAGCTTTGCGTTGAAAAGTCTTGAGCTTTGCGTTGAAAAGTCGTGAGCTTTGCGTTGAAAAGTCGTGAGCTTTGCGTTGAGAAGTCATGAGCTTCGCGTTGAGAAATTATGAGCTTCGTGTTAGGATCATCGCATCATTTTATTTATTTATTATATCTTCACGTATTGCAAAATTCATATTACGAGACACACGTTCCAAATTTCCCGCGTGATCCTGACGTTTTAAAATTCACGTTACGAATTCCATATTCTAACCTCGTTGCAAGCTCCGCGTCAGAATCTTGGTATTACGACCTCTGTCCTGTGAAATTCATATTACGAGGCCCGTTGAGGATTTCGCGCAGTTAACCTCGCATTGTAATATTCATATTACGAGCTGCTGATTACGAGATTCGTATTTTAACTCTTTATTACGAACTTCAAACTATAGTCCGCACGTTCCGTACAATAAAATTCCTCTCGTAAACTACACGTTACAAGCTTTTCGTCGCAAGCTGCGTATTGCAAATTCCGTATCAATTTTACATCGCGTAACTGGCACTGTGACTTAGAACTACTTGTCGAGAACTTTCGATAGTGAAATTCATACTACGAACCATGCAAAACCTTAAAATCCTGTAAACTTCTTACCATGATTTTCATACTTCGATCTACGCGTGGAGAATTCGACGAGCACCTCGTCACCTCGCGATGTAAAACACATTCAGTGATTTTCGCATTTGGAACTTACGATCATCGTGTTGTGTGCCACGCATCCGAAATTTCGTCTCACGAGCTTCGCGCACCTTACGACGCGGCCATAATGAAATTCGTATTGCCGAGCTCGTACACGGGCCGGAGATATAAAGTTTTAATTACGAGATTCATATTGAGAGGATTATACGAGGTTCGTGCCGCGAGATTGCTATCCCGTGGCTGGCATGTTTTCGCGAAATCGCACGCTCTCCTCGCCGCGATTAGTGCTACGTGATGGCGTCGATACTCCAGGCACGAGTCGCGAGCTTTAAGCTTCTTTTTCACGAACTATCCGTAACGAAGGGAATTAACGACGGAATTGCACTGGCACGGACAATTTTCGAGCTCAGTGACGGAATTCCCGGCGAGATTCAGCGAAACGATCGCGAGCCGAGAGCCGAATCGCGACGGAGATTAGCATGGTGGATATTCGACGTCGGCCGCCATTGAAATTTCGATGTTTCAATCACCGTGTGCGCGTTATAGTTCGATGAACATCGTATACCTTTTGTTCGAAATTCATCGTCGATCCGGGGATTATTGTCTCTAGATTATGCTTATGTCTCTATCTCGGATGAAATTCGCGATGGCGAAAACGTACGTCTTCTTCACGGCGGTGTCACAACGCATGATGCATCGAATAAACATCGTACGTTGGACTTGTTACAAAATCTAAGACATTTATATTGATTCGCTCGGTTACGGGAGTGACGTGATCCAAATAGTCGAGCACGATTCGTAAACAGTACTTCTTTGCTCAAACATCAATCGTTTCGACATTCTTCTCTGTGCAAATAAGACCCTGAGACGTCTATCTCGAATGTACGTATTAACGATGAAACTATAGAGGAAGGTATATACTTCGAATCCAAATATTTACTTGTGATTTTCGACAACGCTGAGACGATCCTAAGGATCAAACACTTGTATGGGTTGAATGCTCCGAACATATGCTAGAAGGCAGCTAGCATCTCGGATCTACCCCGATTCACTGTGTCCGTGGAAATAGAGACAGTAATAGAATCGGAATATTCGTTAACTTTTTCACTCCTGAGTTACGAAAAGAGTAGCAAACGCCTTGTCATGAACTAATTTAACAAATTTTATTTTTGTTTAAATGTACTAAAAACTTAATCAAAATATAATATCACGCGTTATAAGCGTTGAGAAAGGATTTTCTAACCTCTAACAGCTTTGAAACTTCACTCCTGAGTTACGAAGAGAGTAGCAAATGCCTTGTGATGAATTAATTTAACAAATTTTATTTTTGTTAAATCTAATAAAAACTTAAAGTATAGTATCGTGTATTATTAGCATTTAGAAAGAATTTTCTAACCTCTAACAGCTTTAAAATTTCACTCCTGAGTTTCCAAAAGAGTAGCAAATGTCCTGTCATGAATTATTGTAACAAATTCAATTTTTGTTTAAATCTAATAAAAACTTAAAGTATAGTATCATGTAATATAAACGTTGAGAAAGAATTTTCTAACCTCTAACAGCTTTGAAATCCGTGGACATTGAATCACGTCCGCAGTCCGGCATGTTGTAGCGTGACGTCATAGTCCGCAGGAGTGAAAGGGTTAAAATCCGAATTTACGCATTAAATAGACATTCTCCTTGGTGAGAATAGAAGCTAATAACGCCTATCTACCTTAAACCTAATTCAAACCAGCGACCAGGTAGATACCCAATCGATAAAGTACAAAGAGTGCAAGCTTCGAACCTAAATATTTATTAAACTTCTAAGAAGTCAAGTGTTATCGAAACGATCGATCATTCTACCTGTCAAACACCTAGAATCATTGAATAGATATTCTCCTCTGTACTCCTCTCAATAAAACCAAAACCCAACGAACGCGTAGATACCGCGACACCTTACACGACTTATCGATTTAACTAGGCAAAGGGGCAAACTGCGAACCCAAATACCCATTAAAATTCCAGGCAGTCGCGAATAGAGGTGTATTGGGACCAGCCTGCGTAGTACTCGCCGAACACTTAGGATGGTCGAATAACAAGTTTGTTTGGAAAGTATTCGGATCGAAGGGAGACACATTAGGTTGGAACTAAACGATCTGAAACGACATACCGCCGTTGTCGATAGTTTCTAAGAATACTTTATTAACTGCCGGCCTATAGCTGGTGAAACGTGGCACGGTGACTAAACATTCCCAGAACAATCGTCGAAGTGCTCGTTGGCTTGGCTGTTCCAGGTACGAGAGGCTCCTCAGGAGAGCAAAGACGGAGGATCTGTCGGAAGTTTCAGGGATTGGCTGCCTCTACCAGAGCGGAGTCGATCGTCAGGGTCGACCAGTCGTCGTGTTCGTCGGCAAATGGTTCCCGGCCACTAAAATCAATCTGGACAAGGTGAGATTAAAGTTTATCGAGCCTCGAAAACTAGCCTCGACAGATAAATTCAATCTAGCTCGCAAACTTTGCTGTTCCCTATCCAGACACTGCCGATGCTTCTTCCTTCTTTGCTTTCCAGGTATTTTTCTTCGCCTACGGAACTGTGAATAAACAATGTTGCCGGTGACTGCTCCTAAGACGACGAATCGTAACTGCACGAGCGTAGAGTCTCGTATAACATCTCGAATTAGCGAGTCTGTGCGTAGGATTAGCACCAGCGTGTCACGATCATTGCAATCGCTGTCTACTTGTGAATCCATCCCGTTACTCTTTACACATCAGATATTTCCCATACACGATTCGCGATACGAAAATCGAACGAAACGTGTACACCTACGAGGATGAAGCTTCTTCGGGATCGGAGAATCACGTTTGCCCGATCGCCATTGGAGAAAACAGAAAAATGTACCGTGCTCGTTTACCGACGCAGATCGCCGGGAGAAATCAGAGGCCGATAACGTTTCCGAGTACCACAGTCGTGGACCGTAACCCAGACACCGTTAAATAAATCCAGGTTCCCCGGGAGAGCAATCAGCCCTCGTTTCACGCGAAATCTACGCGTCGCTCGGACGTGGCGCCCCCTATCTAGAGGGACCGGCCTATAACCGCGAACTATGGACACGCTAGACGAGCAGGGTTCGGCCTCGTGGCTCGAAAGCTCGGAACGATCTCGTAATGGAACATAGTCGCGAGAGGAAAGCGTGGCGAGAGCACGAAATCAATACGCGCGGCGGGTTAGCCTCGCCTCTTTTATTATAGGCTGGTAGCGTGTTTAGCGGTTCTTTACAAGCCTATCGATCCGTTTAGCATAGCTCGACACAGAGAGGAAATTGGCTCGGTGGTTTTCCGCGACGAAATCGAGCTTGTACGATGTAGATCGAATTTATCCACAGTGGACTTTCCGCGAACGAGGAAAATGGCGCCACGCGAGATCGGGGTAGTTCGCTGACAACATGGCGCGCAGGATTAACGAGGACGCGCGCGGATGTTTGGCCAGGCTTGAAGTCCGTTTGGATTTCGACCGGTTGATTGTTTCAGTTCGATTTCGGACGGTCCTCGTTGTCGGAGATGAATAATATACGAAGCATCGCGCGCAGCGAACGTCGGCGGAAAAAATTAGCCAGTTGTTTGTTATCGAGGCAGAGCGACGAGGCAATAGCCGGGGCCGGAAACGATTTGGAATTATTCATCGGCTCGATCGAATGTTTATTCAGAACGTCGCTTATTCGATGGTTCCGTCTAAATCCTCCGCGACGTGTCTGTGAAACGATCGCCGCTTGATCGCTTTGACCATGGGTTGCCATGTTGAACGGACAGCCCTTTAAGTGAATCATCTTGCATCACTGACGCTGCCTCCCGATACCGGGACAGCCGAGGTTCAAAGTTGAACGTGATATGCGAAAGTTCAGGCTACGTTCGCGGAAATGCTTCCATACGCGATGAATATTTCGCAGAATAGCTTCTATTACACTGCTGCATAAATTATTCGCGCTGTTTGCGTTAAATGATTGTGTAATTGATTATGTATGCGGTCCTAGATATACATTTTCAGGAATATATTTCCTTCGTCGTATTTGGAACGCTCCATTCAGACCATTCGGATTACCATTCTTTACCATGAAGAATGGCAAACTGCGTAAACCGAAAACTTAATTAATTTCGATATTTTTATATTTTTTATACAATTAGTTTCGATATTTCTTTAGAAAATGGACATTAATTCGAAGTTCAATTATTCTTTGCTTCGCGTGTCGAATTTCTTGTGATGATGATCGATAATCGATTTCTTTGCTTCTACCAGTGCTAGTAATTCGACACGTATTTCCAAGCTGCATTGAATCTTCCAAAAGATCGCTCTTTCGGTGTTAAACGATCCACGAAATGTAACGAGTAGCTCTCGACCAAAGCCTCGCTTATTACGTATTACTAGTGTAATCCAACTTTTCGTCAGTCTACTTAGCATCCACGAGAAAGACGATACGAAACAAGGTCGGTCGAGTGTCCGTTCCTCTCAGTTCAGAAGCAACCCGATGCTGCTCATACAAGACTGTCAGAAGGTTCTTCAACCATTCTCGCTTTACTCCATATTCCAGGCGACATTTCACGCTCACACGTACACGCGCGTGCAACTTGTTACCGCGTGAAGTTTAAACAAAAAGTAGCACCGACCAATGGAGAAAGTTTCGAGAAGAACCGTCGTTCCTCGCTCTCCAACGGCATCTCCAGCCAAGTACCGCGACTCGTCTCGGTCTCTTTCGAACTACCCTCCACGCGAACCGTCGAAACACACGAAAGACACCACCACCCCTTCTCTGCCCAACTTTCACCGAATTCCATTCAGAGATACCCCTGGAACCTTCGCGCTGGTCGCGGGATCTCGCTACCCCTGCGTGTGTATCAATATCATCTTTGCTCCTGTCCTCTCTTTCTCCCGCCGTGTCCTCTGCCCTCACGGGGTGGCGACGAGCGCAGCACCGCCGGCGAATCGATATTTACACGTCCAGAAATAGACCGACCACGGAACAACTCCCAAGCCGAGGGCGCACGAGCTGCAACGTTGTCGCGGCCACGCCGATCCGCCCTGGAAAAGTTTGTTTTCGTCCCTACCCGTGACCCTTTTATCTGGCTACTACACGTGACCCTTTTTGCGTCGCGAGTGGCGTGGCTTCCTTTGAGGATGGCGTCGCCGCCGGAAATAGCCGCGACCGAGCGAATCGAAACGGAAACTGGCTGGCCGACCTCGCCCCGATCACGCGTCGATCACCCCTTTTTCCACGCGCCGTCCACGACGTCGATCATGATCGATGGACCGAGGCAATTGCCGTTTAACGAGTTTTCCTCCGTTTTCTTTCCACGCTCCTCTCTTTTCCCTTCTATTTTCCCCGCTTTCTCCTATTGCTTTCGACTAATTTACGATAGATCGCGGGTTAGAGTCTATAACCTTGGAGGGTTTACGAGTATCGCGTTTGGTGATTCGGGGCGTGGTAGGCGAAGTGTGGTACCGAGTGTACCTATGGTTGTCCCGATGAACGGTATTCTACGCGATGTTAGGGTCAGTTACGACAGTCAATCACGTTTCAATGTGATTCCCTGAATCGAGAAAATCGAAATGTGGTATTGGGGTTGTTCAGTTTTCTGCTATAGAATATTTCTTTATTTCAAGATCAAATAATAGGTTTCAGATGTCGAATGGACTGTAAGGAGGTAGTACGACTTTTTCTTTTTGTATTGAGAACCTTAATCTAGGTTAATATATCAATTTTATATTAGTTTAGGTTACACAAAGATATATATTCTTCTCAGCTATTATTTATGTAGAGGAATGGGATTTGTTAAATGCTTAATTTGCAGCCTTTTAAGAAGAAGACATAAGATCATGCATTTAAATTTGGCTTTACGACGATTGTTTCTACGCCTAGAGGTACCTGGAGCTTAATTTTGATCAGCTTTTTTATTAGTTCTGTTCTTTGAGAAAGGTAGTACGACTTGGTTGAAGGGGGAACAACCTCCTAATCCAAAGATATATCTCAGCTAAAAATATCCGATAGCTATAGAATTTCCTAAAATATCGGTGTCGTGTCTATCGTCACAGTGATGCATATTTCAAAGGTGTTCAATGACTGAATAAAACCACCCCTCGAACGTATCAAAATTAAAGATCCCTGTTTTACCTGCACATTTAATCCCGGGATCAAATAAAAACCCAAACTCGATCACCACGAATTTCGAATTAAATTCGAAGGTTGCTGTTTTTGGAAAAGGGAAGATTCTTCGTATTCCCTCGTATTACTCGTTCAGATTTATGTATCGATACAAATTTATTCTTCGCCTTCACCGAAAATCTTTCACCGACGAATGCAAATCGGTGCCTCGCGCTGCATACGCGCAACGAACGGCCAGAGAATCGCGGCGTTTCTCGAATGGAATTATGCGAGGACGTCCTCGGCGTCGTGACGCCCTACTCCCGCGACGATGGATAAGGCAATAAAAAATATAGGGTGCCACCGAAAGGAGGCGAAAGAAGTCGCGGCAACGATTCCTCCTGAATGTAGGTCGCTGTCCGAGATTCAAGGACGTACTCGATCATTCTCCCCCTGACCTCGCGGCAGCAATTTCAGGTCACACATTTATCGGCTCGTGAAAAACTGCGACGAAAGGATACGCTGCTAGAGCCAACATCGTTACGATCAGTCTACTCGGTACCCTACGGTCCTGACGTTTAAGGTATCGACAGCCCTTCCAACCCTGTTCCTAGCTTTCCTAGCCACCTCCGTTCCACCCTCCCCTGTCCTTCCTCCCTTTTTCCATGTCCAGAACGGGTTTCTTGGGTGGTTCGATCGCGACGTTTCCAAGATTGGAGTGGTTATGCAGCTTTTGAGTCGGTGGTTGATACGTGTTAGGTCACTGCGGATGAATTGGACGCGTTGTTAGGAAAATTTTCCGCGTCTCTTGTGTTATTACGCGTGTGGTATCGATCACTGCGAAGTTAGGTTAGATTCGGTGTATTCCGATGGTAAAAGATTGTAGGAAATTGGTTACTAAAAAAGAATTTTATTATTAATTTATGAGGTTATTAAATTAGCAACGTTCGAATTATTCGCTCCGATGGCGGATCATCCGCACCCTTCGTTTGAATATGATTATAGGGCAGGTTGAAAATAAATGGATCGGACACATTGTTAGCGAAATTTTCAATATTTGCAGTATTATCGAATGTGTCATCGATCAATGCATGGTCCATTAAATTCGACACGCTTTGATCATGGTAATACAATTAATTAATAAATTATTCCGGTTTATATCGTTCGCTCTAATGGCGGATTCGTTGTAGTCTGGTTGTAGTCTCCTTAAAAATTGTGTCAATTTTCTAAATAACTTTAGGTTTGTATAATTCCTATTGTCAAATTCGATAATTCTATTGTAGGGGTTGGAGAGTGACGAATGAAGGGTAATCAAAC